CATAACATGCAAGCAATCCTAAGAAAAAATATTGTATGCCATAAGTATAATAGTACGATACTACAAGTTTAAATTTTTCATTCATTAATATTCAAAGAGAAAATTATTAATTTAGAAGAAAATAATAGAAAAGAAAATAAAAAATCACTAATAAGTAAGTAATTTCCAATCGTCGAACCATGATTTTAACTGGAAGGAAATAAAAATATTGGACAAAGAAGCATCATATAACAAGAAACTAATATCTGAGATGATCTTTCTAAAGAAACAGACACAAGGCTTAAATAAAGAGAATGACACGGAATCACTTTTCGATGGATATCTTCCGTTAGTTCAGTCATTATCTCCATCATAATGTCTCCACTCGTTAATGTCCCCATCTATTACATTTTTGCTTTGTCGAAATTACTCTCTTGTTTTCGTGGCTCATTTCAACAACAAAGGACACTTAACAGCCAAATTTTAAAGACTATTTTAAGAGGTCTGATTAACGATGTAATTGCGGACTTTCATATCCAGGTATTACATTATTTTATTAGATACTGATATTATCACAGACTTTTAATTAATTATATCTAGCTTCAAAATTGTAACTCTCTACTATTATTGTTTCTCTCTATTATTATTACTGATAGAAATTACACTCACGTAATCAGCACAATAGTAATCAAAAAGAAAATATATTGTTAGTATAAGTGTACAGGTTTGTCTAAACAAATTTCAATGCAACTACTGATTGTTAAATGTATTATTTACTTCTAAAGTAAAAGAATTTTTTTACATATCTTCACAAAGCGAACATCACTATGCAAACCACAATATATTTCTATATAATATATATATATATATATATCGTATATATTTAAAAGGTCTAGTAGAACTTTTATTTTGAAAAATCATTAATGTTACATTCATAATAAAGATTGTCTCACAATAAAATATAATATTTTTCAACACAATATTGTTTGTTCTAAATTGTTAGAAATATTCAAATTACTTTTGACTTTTTTTTTAAATTTATATGTATATATATAATATAATATAATATAAAAATGTTTAATAATATAATTTTCAATTGAACCACAAAATGTACTTTGTTATTAATCACAATAAAAGAAATAATAAGAAATGATTTTCTGCATTAGGTTAATATTGAATTTCTGTTAATCTAATTTTTAATTAATATATTTTAGTGATGAATTTATTTTATTTTATATTTTCAGCAATGAATCCTATGCGATCGACAACTGTCCAGAGCAGTGAGGAATCAAGATCAACACGTAACGAAGATCACAATACTTTTGCAGTTTTACATTCAAGAACTGAAGAAGAGAAGCAGAGGCGCAGACGAAAATGGCAACGCCAGCAAAAGCGAGAGAGACAACATGAAAAATTGAAGGAGCAAAAAATTTTAGAATATGAAAGAAAACATGCACAAGCTTTAAAATATGCCAAGAAAAAATCCTCGCGTCACAGTCAAAGTAAAAGTGATAGTGAGTCTCCCTCGCATGTTCCATACAGAGGTAGATCTACATCAACTGCTTCCAAATCTGGTAGCCTCCATGAAAAGTGAGTGTATGATATACACAATTATATACTTATATCTTTATTATAGTCCTCTATTTATTGGTGACTTGATAAAAATAAGGTGACTTGAAAATATATACAGAAAAAATTTCAATGAAATGATTGATGATGAATGAATGATGATGAATTTAAAAAATAAAAAAGATAATTAGTATAAAACAAATTATTTTTAGAGAATATTACTTACATAATAGTAAAAATGTATTTATATATTAGAGAGTAGTGTTATTTCATCGTTTATTGAAGATTGTTCGGCCATTATTGGTTACATATCACATAACAGCGATACAGATGACAGTAGTGATATTTTTTATTTAATTATTTTTTAAATAGTAAAAAAGACATGACATTTTATTGAGAAAATAGACAAATAAAAATATTTTTTTTCAACAAGAGCAAAAAAGAACAATTTTTTTGTGAAGGATATATCCAGAATAAAACTTTTTTCCTGAAAAAAGAATCTTATTTTAACAGTATAATAATTACAATTAATTTAACATATTATCAAATTCTCTTTAGATTAGATGGGTCTACAAGTGGAACAGTACCTTTATTTAGAGGTCCTCAAAATGCACAGATTGATACTTCGGAACTACGTCGAATTAAAGTTGATATTCATAGGAATATTCCTGTAAAAGGACCTGTTACCGAATTAGAGAGAGATATACTTAATCCTGAAGATGTGATCGTCAAGAGAAGAGAGGGTAAACTGTTAATTTCTCTATCTTTATGATTTTCTAAAATTCTTATTTTTTCAAAAAATTATTATTTAGCTCTGCAGTAAATGAAGAATTGTGTTACAGATAAAGAATTGATTGTGTATCTGCAATAATAATGTGTCTTTATTATGTCAATAGCACAAAAGGTTTGATATATATAAGCTCTAGATTGATGCATCGATAGGTTTATTCTTCACATCTATGAAGAATTTACTATCTAAAAAAATTGATAATGAACTCCCTGAAGACGACAAGCAAGAGAAATACTTGTAATAATGATGAACATTGCAAATCTGATTCCAGAAATTTTTCAACACAGGAAGAATATTTTATTCATTATTTTCCACCTGTGGTTTTTTCACAAGAGATGTAAAATATATATTGCGGTTTGCTTAATACATGTACATCTCAAATATAGTATTTGTTTCAACGATAATTAATTTTATTTAGATTTTTAAGCTGTATGTTTATTTTTTTAATTGAAATATTTAATTAAGTGTTATTTACTTATACTAAAGCTACATTAGTTAAATTTTATTTACTTATTTACTGTTTTGTACAAAATTTTTTTAATTTGTAATAGGAATATTCCTGTAAAAAGATCGAGCACGAGCGTAGCATAGAGGACAGCGCGTAGTCTACCATGCTAGGGGACTCGAGTTTGATCTATGACAGATCCAAGACATTTTCATTCGTAGCTCCTCTTCAGCTTTCTGGCAAACCACCAAGAGTATCTATTGCCAAGAATCTCTTAATACTATTATGAATGAAATGTAAAAAGACCGAATTATAAAGAGATATACTTTATCCTAAAGATGTGATCGTCAAGAGAGGAGAGGATAAACTGTTAATTTCTTCAAAATCTTTATTCTCTAAAATTCTTATTTTTTGCGTAAAATTATTATTTAGCGCTATAGTAAATGAAGAATTGTGTTACGGATGCAATACTAATAATGTGTTTGTTGTATCAATTAACAGCATAAAAGTTTTGATGTATAAGTATTAGATACATCGATAAGTTTATTCCTTACTTCTATGAAGAATTTACTATAAAAAAATCGATAATGAACTTCATGAAGATGACAAACAAGAGAAATACTCGTAATAATGATGAACATTGCAAATCTAATTCAAAAAATTTTTCAGAAAAAGTATTTTATCTATTATTTTTGACTAATTTTTTTTCCACAAGAGGTACAAGGTATATATTGTAGGGGACTTAGAATATTTTCCTGAAGAAATGTTATTTCGAAAATCGAGGAGTATGTTTAACTATAACCAAATAATTCATTACATATTTTATACTCTTGCTCAAGGCATGAGTTAAATTTCAAATATAGCGTTTGCTCTAACGATAATTAATTTTTTTTAGATTTCTAAATTATGTTTTTTTTTTAATTGAAACATTTAATTAAGCATTATTTATTTATATTAACATTTAATTACGCCTTATTTACTTATGTTTGTACAAAATTTCATTGAACTTAAAACGTTGTTTCTATTACTTTTCATTGAAATAAATTATATAATTCATACATATTATATTACGTGCATTCTTACATAAAAAATTGTAAATTTGTAAATATGTTAAAAATGATTACGTATTTTTAATTATTATAAAACTATTCATATATATTAATTAAAAAATATTGCTTCACAGAAAATATAATTACACAAATTTTGGAGAGTAAATGATTCAAGTCTGTCTACAATGAAGATATGATTAAACTTTTCATGATTCATTACAACGAACAAAGAATAGATAAAGTATGTAGGTATGTAGGATTAGGTACATAAAAGAAAAGTTTTTTTAATGATTTGTTTTTAAATTGATTCAATATATAGTGAGATAATTTATATAAATTTTAAGTGAATTTTTTTATATATGCGAATAATTTAAAAAATAGTAATTTTCGTTATAGCATGACGTAATATTGTTGTTTCAATAATCAATTTATACAATATTTTTTTATTTAATTTGAATTTATTATTACTTACGATTAAATTGTAAGATGCTGGAAGATACTGCTATCTGACGAATATCCTAATGGAAGATATTTTCTTTCACGGAAGATATTATATTAATACTATAAAAGGGATACAAAGATGATGGAAGACAGCCTACAATGAAGATCAGCTATGTAGAAATAGATATATAAAAACAAGAAAATTTTTAATAACTTGTTTTTAAAATTGGTTTAATGCAGTGAGATAACTTATACAATTTTTAAGTAGATATATATATGCAAAAAATTTTCCAAATAGTAATTTCCATTATTATAATATAATGTAATATTGTTATTTCAATAATCAGTTTATCATTATATTTTTATTTAATATGAATTTATTACTACTTATGATTAAATTATAAGATGGAAGAATACTCTGTTTGACGAATATTCTCATGGAAGATAATTTTTTTCACGGAAGATATTATATTAGTATTATAAAAGAGATATGAAAATGATTAAAGGAAGCCTACAATAAAGATAATGTTAATTCTTTGTTAAGATACATCTATTACTTAAAAATAGATATGGAAAAATCTGCTCTTTAAAGCAATTTTATAATTAAAGCTTAATATAACAAAAGCGAAATTTATATAATATTTTCAAGATAGTGTTTTGAATGTATAAAAATTTATAAAATAATTTTTATTACAAGTGTATGGTATAATGGAAAATTTCGAGAATTTTACTTTTATGTTTTTATGAAATAATGTTATGATATTTTCTGATAATTAAATACGTATTATTTTTCAATATAATTATAAATTAAATATTTAATAACGGATTAGATATGAAAAAACGTATGTCATTAACTTTTAGCAATTGTTTTATAATTAGTTTCGGGAGTATATGTATATACTTCCATGTATATATGTGTATACGCATACAGAAAATAATGATAAATCTTTCGCATAAAGGCAGAATGGATTAAACTGAGATGTCCTCTATCATTCTGTAATTTTCGAAATAATTAACAGGATATTAATTACTAAAAATTGCCGAAAATTAGTCTTTAATAATTTTTTACTCAAATATTTTCAATTTTACAGAAAAACTGCAAGAGACAAAAATTGTTAATTTTCTTCTCATAGAGATGTAAGAATTTTTTCAGAATTTTTTCAGAATTGTTTAAGATCGTATTTTCTTATGTTGATAAAAATGAAAAAATGTAGTACTAAAAAGTTTTTAAAAATTCAGGAAAGATTCGTAGAGAAGAAAGTAAACAATTTACATCTTTTGCAATTTGTTTATAAAATTGATAGTATTTGAATAAAAAATTATTAAAGACCAATTTTTGGCAATTAATATCTTGTTAACTTTCGAAAATTACAAAATAGTAGAAGACTTTTCTTCTCAGTTTAATCCATTCTGTCTCTATGCGAAAGATTTATCATTATTTTCTGTATGTGTATACACATATATATTTTCGAAACTAATTATAAAACAATTGCTAAAAGTTAATCACATACGTTTTTTCATATCTGATCCGTTATTAAATACTTAATTTATAATTATATTAAAAAACAACGTATTTGATTATCAAAAAATTTATTTCATAAGAACATAAAAATAAAATTCCCGAAATTTTCTATATTATTCCATATACTTATAATAAAAATTATTTTTTAAATTTTTATACATTTAAAACGCTTGAAAGTGTTACATAAATTTCGCTTTGGTTATATTAAGCTTTAATTTTAAAATTGCTTTAAAAAACAAATTTTTTCATATCTATTTTTAAATATGTTTTTTTAACAAAAAATTTAACTCGACGTGTAGACAGCTAAGGTCAAGAATCACGGAGTATAAGAACCACATCTGATGGAACACATCTACTCGTAATGCCATAACGGAGCATTTTCGATTGGGACAACATTACAATACTAGACGACGAGCCTCACTACAGGAAGATGTTTCGGATATGATATTCATCAGGAGACAGACGCATGAACTCAACCTGCATATGGGTATGGAGGGACATCCTAAGGTCTACCTCCCGATCATAGACAAGTTATAAAGGCTGAAGTTGTTGTCACGTCTAGTCAGTCAGTGTCGTTCGTATGCAGTAATGAGTCTTTCTGGCGTGTTTATCGATTACTTTTCAAGTTTCTTGTTCTATGAATTGATTAACGCTTTAATGTTACATGTTTCCATTTGTTATCTCGGCAAATACTAGCTAAAAAACAAAAAGTGACTCATTGTGTCTGATACTGACTGACCAACATTATCAGGAATCGGTTCTTGAATTATTTTTATAGTAATGTTTGCGATATGGTGCTCTGTGAATATGGTGAGCGTCCTTATATTTGCTGGATAATTAATTATAATCTTAAAATTGCTTGATAAAATAGTTCTCCATATTCTATTTTACGATATTTAAACATTTTTCTTTTTTCCTTTTCCTTTTTCTTTCACTCTTTTTTGTTTTAATTCCGACATTTAAATTCTTGATGTAAAGGAGTTTACCACAGGATACTTTTTATTCAAAGTTTTTATATATATGTTTTTATATTGTATATGTTAATTTATATTGTCTCTGAGGAAGGTTTAAAAGTGAGCCGAAACATGTAAGCGCGTTTTAGTGAATAAAGAAGTTTCACACTTCCTAGATATATTATTTGCGCGACGTCTTCTGCGCTTGACTTCTACTGCCCGTATCCTTTCTAATTCTTTAAATAATTTAACTTTATCTTCATTGTAGGCTTTCTTTAATCATTTTCGCATCCCTTTTGTAATACTAATATAATATCTTCCGTGAAAAAAAATATCTTCATTGGGATATTGATCAAATAGCAGTATCTTTCAGCATCTTACAATTTAATCGTAAGTAATAATAAATTCAAATTAAATAAAAAAATATTGTATATACTAATTATTGAAACAACAATGTTACGTCATGCTATAACGGAAATTATTATTTTTAAAATTTTTTACATATATAAAAAAATTCACTAAAAAATTGTATAAATTATCTCACTATATTGAATCAATTTAAAAACAAATCATTAAAAAGACTTTCCTGTTTCTATGTATACCTTGTTCTATATATCTATATATTTTTTCTATTTTTCGTTCGTTGTAGTGAATCGTGAAAAGTTTCATTTTATCTTCGTTATGGGCAGACTTGAATCATTTACTATTCAAAATTTGTATAATTATATTTTCTGTGAAAAAATATTTTTTAATTAATATTTGAATAGTTTTATAATAATTAAAAAACGTTATCATTTTTAACATATTTATAAATTCACAATTTTTTATGTAGGAATGCACGTAATATAATATGTATGAATTATATAATTTATTTCAATGTGAAAAGTAATAGAAACAACGTTTTAAATTCAATGAAATTTTGGACAAACAGAAGTAAATAAGGCGTAATTAAATGTTAGTATAAATAAATAATGATTAATTAAATGTTTTAATTAAAAAAATAAACATATAATTTAGAAATCTAAAAAAAATTAATTATCGTTAGAGCAAACGCTATATTTGAAATTTAACTCATGCCTTGAACAAGATATAAAATATGTAATAAATTATTTGAATATTGTTTTAATATTATTTAGTTATAATTTAACATACTTCTCGATTTACGAAATATCATTCCTTCAGGAAATTATTCTAAGTTCCTGCAATATATGCCTTATATCTCTTGTGAAAAAAAAGTTGGTCAAAAATAATGGATAAAATACTCTTTCTGGGTTGAAAAATTTCTTGAATTAGATTTGAAATGTTCATCATTATTACGAGTATTTCTCTTGTATGTATTATGTATTATGTATGAAATTTTAACTCGGTGGGGGATACCCAAAAAATTGGCTACCTTAGTCCAAGTTTGTTTAAAAGATACCAGAGGTAGAGTAAGAATAGGTAATCAAATGTCGGAAACTTTTAATATTCATAGCGGATTAAAGCAGGGGGATGCATTGTCACCTCTTCTGTTTAATCTAGTATTGGAATATGCTATTAAAGAAATGCAGAAGAGTAATGATGGTTTGCAGTTGAACGGTACAACACAAATATTAACATATGCGGACGATATTGCTTTGTTGGGAGATAATAAAGAAACACTAATAAATAACGCTAAAATTCTATTAGATAAAACGAAAGAACTGGGGCTGCAAATAAACGTTGAAAAAACTAAATATATGGTCACTGATAGAATTCAGAATATTCATAATAACGGAAACCTGGTCGTCTGTGATAAAATTTTTGAACGGGTTAGCAATTTTAAGTATTTAGGATCGATTTTAAACCAAACTAATGAAATAAGAGAAGAGCTCAAGAGAAGAATTAATTTGGGGAATGCGTGCTTCTATTCGGTTAAGAAACTACTCGGTTCGCGGATATTGTCTAGGCGCTTAAAAATTAGAATTTACAGAACGATTATTTTACCGGTAGTCCTTTATGGCAGCGAAGCGTGGTCACTTACATTACAAGACGAGAAAAGATTTAGGGCTTTCGAAAATAAAGTACTTCGAAAAATCATCGGGGCAAAACGCGATGAGGAAACGGGCGAATGGAGAAAATTACACAACGCAGAATTACATCAATTATATAATAGTCCGGATATTATTAATGTCATAAAATCGCGTCGATTAAGATGGGCAGGTCACGCGGCGCGTATGGATGAGAATCGAATTGCATATAAAGTACTAATTGGTAAACCGGATGGGAAAAGACCATTGGGTAGACCAAGACGTAGATGGGAAGAAAATATTAGAATGGACCTTAACGAAATGGGGTACGAGGGTCACAAATGGAGGGATCTGGCTCAGGGACGGGAACAGTGGCGGGATTTGGTATTTGCGGCAATGAGCTTTCGAGTTCCTAACGCCTAATAATAATAATAATAATAATTTCTCTTGCTTGTCATCTTTATGAAGTTCATTATCGATTTTTTTATAGTAAATTTTTCATAGATGTAAGGAATAAACGTATCGATATATCTAGTGCATATATATCAAAACTTTTGTGTTATTGATACAATAGACACATTATTAGTATTGCAGATACTGTCAGTACTTTATCCGCAACACAATTCTTCATTTACTGCAGCGCTAAATAATAATTTTACGCAAAAAATAAGAATTTTAGAGAATCATAAAAATTTTAAAGAAATTAACAGTTTGTCCTCTCCTCTCTTACCGATCTATAGGATTAAGTATATCTCTTCATAATTCTTTTTACATTTCATTCATTTTCTGGCTCAAAATCGGAACCAGGCCTATCTCTCGTATGTATGCCCGTAGTGCATGCATGCGGTTATACAGACATACGGGACTTACAATTTAATGGTTCCGAATGGCAATATTAAGAGGTTTTATTCTTGACAAGAGATACTCTTGGTGGTTTGCCAGACCGCCGAAGAGAAGCTACGAGCGCGTGAAAATTTCTTAGATCTGTCAGGGATCGAACTCATGTCCCCTAATATGGTAGACTTACGCGCTGTCCTCCATGCTACACTCGTACTCGATCTTTGTATAGAAATATTCCTATAGAAACAACGTTTTAAGTTAAATGAAATTTTGTACAAAACATAAATAAATAAAGTGTAATTAAATGTAGCTTTAGTATAAGTAAATAACGCTTAATTAATTAGATATATATTTTAATTAAAAAAAAGAAACATACAGCTTAGAAATCTAAATAAAATTATCGTTAAAACAAATACTATATTTGAAATGCACATGCATTAAACCTCTTGCTGCAAGAGTATCAAATATGCAATAATAAATTATTTGGATACTGTTTGAATATTATTTAATTGTAGTTAAACGTACTTCTCGATTTGCGACATAATATCTTTTCAGGAAAACATTCTAAGTTTCTGCATCAATATATATTTTACACCTCTTATGAAAAAAACCGTAGGTTGAAAATAATATGGATAAAACACTCTTCCTCTGTTGAAAAATTTCTTGAATCAGATTTGCAATGGTCATCATTATTACAATATATTTGTATATAATTAATACAAATAAAAATTTGAATCCTTTGAAGATAGTTTATTTCTATAAATGTAAAAATTTAAATTAGAATTTTTGCAATAATGTACATAATGTTTACTTTTCAGAATTTTTTTCTACATTGATGTTTTTATTTAGTTATTTATTTAGTTATCCCGCATTTTTTAACAATTTCAATGAAATTTTTGAAAAAGTTAAAATATCACTGATCAAACATTCATATCGAAATAAAAGAATAATATTATAATAAAGATTAAAAAAGTATGAAATGTGCTATGTAAAAGTTATATATATTGAATATTATTAATTATACACACACATACACACATAATGCACAAGATTAAAATGTACCAAGTAATGTGTATTTTGTATTTATATATCATTCTTTTTTATATGTGCGTGCGTGCGTACTTGCTTGCGTGCGTGCGTGCGTGCGTGCGTGTGTGTGTGTATTAGAACGTACTTGAAATCATCAAAGTTATAATATTTTATATACAATAATCACAATAATTCTGCCAATGTAATTTTTATTTTTTATTTGCTAATTTATACATAATTTATATATAATATTAATAAAAAAGATTTTATTCTTCTCAAAGTTCTAATGATTTATTGCAAATATTATATCATCTAAATCTTATGCAACTTTTTTTATCATAGTTTGTATTTAAGCCTTCTATATTTATTATATTTAGATTTTTTAAAGATTGTAAAATATTATATTGTATTATCATAAATCTAGCGAATACAGAACTTAGTTTTTAAAGTAATTTTTATTTTAATATTTTTGTTACATAAAAGACCATGTCAATAGCAATATTGCTATTATTACGATAATGATCAATAATAACAAATAAAACAAATTTAAAGCGAAGACAATATAAGAAATTTAATTTAGATAGGTGAGAAAGATAAATCATAATTATCTGAATGTCTTCTTCATTCGTTCATTACACACACACACGCACGCACGCACGCACACACACATATTAAAAATATATATTAAAATTTCATTAATAAATAATGTTATAAATTATACAGGAGAAGGATGTAGACCAATATTCGATAGGGAAGAATTGAAAAAGGTTATAAATAAGATTAACGAAATAGAAGTACGACACACAGATGTAGTCATAGATAAAGAACAATCGGGTATGTATTCCACAAATAATTGTTATTTATTATTAGTTTTTACATTGAAGAATTTACCAATTAAAGAATTAAGTAATATAATGAATACCTTAAGTTGCACTTGATTTTTTTTCGAAGTATCTGAAATTCTTTGAATAAGAAAAATTTAATATAAATAAAAAGTATAATATATTTGAGATTATATACATATAGATGATATATGTATATTATATATATGTATATATATATATATACATACATATTTGTAATAATAAAACATACAATCGTATAATTATTAATATTTGATTAATGCCTTAAAATTTATGACATATCTCTTTGCTAAAAATGAGATGAAAATATCGAAATATAATACTTCACAAATGGGAAGCTATATTTGTAATTACAATTGTTGAAATAGGTAATTTAAAGATCGCGTGTTTAAAGACGATATACCATATGGTTATGTTATTTTTTTGTAATTATGAAAGTTTTAGTTCCCGATTTTTGAGGCTCAATAATAAATATTACAAAACACAGTATTTAAAAAAAATGTACATATTTTAACACTATAATATTATACAGCCTCGACAATCAAGTCACGTTCTTTGAGGAAACGTTCTTTATCCTTGAGTCCTATTAGGAATCGTGTCTATTCTGGATATCCATCTTCCTATCAATCCAGGTTCGTTTTACTCATTATGACCATATTCTATTTACGCTAAATTTACACTCTTTAATCTATTTTCTTGTGATTATAGTCGTCGCATGGATTTGAAGCATCAGGATAAGACAGAAAAATGTGATACTCGTAAAGATGATGGGTAAGTTTTATTTATTAATTTATTGAGATAAAGAAAGTTTATTTTTGAAATAATGAAGAGTACATACAAGAGTACATACAAACAAGTATGCCGTAATCTCTAAAAATTTATCAATCTTCTCCGAGTATCTCTTCTTACTATCGAATGAGAGGAATACTAAACCGATAAGTCAATTCTTACTAGATTACGGCCATAAACGCTCCCTTACTGTTTTATCTGAAAAGTATGTTTTGTTACTTTATTTTAGGAGAAGCGATTTAGAGAAACGCAGAGAATATAAAGAGAAATATACTGAAAGAGATGGCGCAAATAAGCATGATAATAATCGATCGCGTTCAAGAGAACGTAACTCACATTCCAGGTATAGAACATAATTTTATTAACATAGTTTATTATTTTAAATAAATAAATATTTTTATTATCTTAAACATTTAAATTATTTTTAGTCTATTATGACTTGTTATGATTTGGTACTACCAGACTTAATTGATTTGTAAAACGTACGACAAAGACTGTGTTCCAAAATTTACTGCCAGTACTGAAAATTTATGAGGTGCCGAATGATTTGTCGCTCGGTGCAATTGACTCACGATCTGTAGATCCGGATTTAATTCCACCTGCTCTCATATACGCAATTTTTCCTGGCTCTATCTAATCATTAAGAGATCTTTGATTACCAATGCCGTTCGGATCCGGTATTAATTTATAGGTTCCATATAATATCAATGGTGCATATGTGTATAAATCCTTCAGTCTGAAAGTTGGATATTAAGCTAACAACTTAATTCCGGAAAAAAATTCATTGATACGAAAAAACCTCATGAGGCTCTATCCTACCTTGAGATGTTGCGCCACCAACAACTGAAAATCTATAGTGCTCGTAAGGTAAATTATGGATTTTCGGTATTGGCAATAAATTCCTAGATAACGTGCATGCTGCATAAGATATCTAAAAGATCTTTAAGAAATCTTTTTTATAACGTTTTTGATTCAAGCGGATTTGCTCCCATTTGGGTTGGATGATGTTCTACTAT